ATTAGCATGTATCAGTGTTTTTTTGGCTCACTATCTAGCTGCTAACTGGCGTGCACTAAAGTCAAAGTACAATACAGTTTTTATCAAGCCATTGTTGCCTTTTCTACCAGGACAGTGCAACTAAGAGCAGTTACTTTCTTCACTGTTGTGTTTTCTGGTGGGATAGTGCAACAAAAAACGGTTGTCATTGAGTCCTTATTGCTTTTTTGGCCAGGATAGTGAAATGTAAAGCGGTTGCTTTTTACTGTGACATCACTGCATTTCTAAGCAGAACTGTGTCAAGCGGCAACCTTCAGGGCTTATGAGTGAAGTCAATGCGGAAGTGCCAAAAATTGCAGTGAATCATCCCGCCACTTAGGGCTGGCTGACAAACAGAGCAAATCCCCATAGACTCCCATGTTAAAATGCCCAACTTTAAAACTAAACCCTTGTACTGTATTCGTTTGTACCTCACACCCCCGGTATTCGCGGGTCATACTGACCCAATTTTGTTTGACTGATATAAAGCATGTAGCATAAAATTATCACCCAATTCTGTGTTTCATGTTGTTAGTCAACTTCACTCCAACTTACTGAAACAAATTTTACACTTTTTTTTTTTTTAAATTTAGGACGTCATAGACCTCATTTGCGTAAAAGTATACCTAATTTTTGAGTACAAATAATTTGTAATTATGAATTCTGAGTTTGAATATAAATTGATACATTTTTACAGAGTGGTATATGTCAGAGTTTAGTCAAATATATTTTTTGAAACCATTTCAAATTTTTGAATGGCAGCAAATACTAACACTCCTGGTATTTGCGGGTCATATTGATCCGGTTTTGTTTGACTGGTTATAAAGCATAAAGAATAAAGTATCACACATTTCTGTTTCACATTTTTAGCCAACTTCAATTCAACTCATCACCACAAATACTACACACCTAATTGATGGTCAATAGACCTCATTTACATGAAATTATACCTTGTTTTTGAATAAATAAACAGAAATCATTTTGGATTATCAAAGAATATTAGCCAGGATATTTTCAGGTCAGAATTGACTGATGCAATTTTATTCACAAATAACAAATAGAGCAAAGTTTCAGTTTCAAATTCAACAAAATGTATTTACAACGACCAACAGTTATTGCCAAAAATCATCAAACTCCGACTCTTTCAACTGACAACAGAACAAAAACAGCTGCTGCAGAAGCTGAAGCACCCTTGGAGGAGTATAATCACTCTACTCATCTAACTGAAGTGAATAAATGTATTTCCCAAGATGTTGAACTACTACTTTGAATGAAATATCAAGTTCAGGGAATAGATTAATTTCCTTACCAGTAACAGAAAATCTGATGGAGTCACTTAAGGGGGAGCTGAAGTCTTGACTCGAAACCGTCGTCCGATACTGACACTGGTACGATCCTTCGTCATTAAAGTTGACTTTAGGTATTTTAAACATAGCAGAGTTGGAACTCGAACTTTGGGTCTTTCTGAATGAACCTGAAGTCTTTCTCAAAGTGAATGTTGCACTCAAAAGCTGTTGAGTTTGAGTTGAGACCAAACAAGTGATGCCGACATTCTGACCCCAGGTAACCTCCCCAGCAGGATTCATTGAGATTCTGGGCTTTGGGAGGATTGCTGAAAAATAGCACAATGATATAACATTAAATGTATTACAGCTTTGATCATAGCTGTATTTGTTTTTTTCAATAAGCATGTGGTGTATAAAGATGTGAACATTAACAATATCCTATCTCTGTTACACTATAAACATTTGATCAGACAAACAGGTTCTATGACTTTAGTACTCTTTCATTTTTAGAGAGTGGCAACGCTTGCAAGTGTCAAGCAGATTTACTGTAAGGAGGAAGTGTTTATGTTCTGCTACTTTGGAATGACACAGCTTGATTCTGCTTAGCAATGCTGACTTGGGGATGTAAGAACTTGTAAAATTACTCTTCTGAATTTACTTCATCTCACATTGAAGTGAACAGTGTGTCAAAGTAGAAAACATATAAAAAAATGACCATTTGGCTCTTCTGTTTTTCATTAGCATTGAAGAAATGCAAGAAAAACACACACACACACACACACACAGAAAAATCTACATCCAGAGCCATGCATTTTTGGATGGACAAACTGTACAGAGCTGTAAAGTTGTCCACCATGTACCATTTGCAGCTAGCTAACCGTAGCTGATTGTTTTGTCTGTGACAAAATAGATCAACAAGAAAAAGGTCAAATACTAACAAGCTGAAAGGGGGCAACAAGCGGAGTTGGACATATTTCGGTCATCAAAACAATTCCCCTCCAGACAGACAGCAGTCCAATTACATGGCCTAGTTGAGCTGTAACTGTAGCTCAACTTGTGCATGTAAATGTACTGAATGATTTAAAACCAGAAATACAGTGATGCAATAATATTTATTAAGGATGGGAAAAAACTACATTGGCTAAGTAGAGTGCCCCAAGACTGAGTTCTAAAACCTGGAAATGAGTTAGCATTTTAGTGCTCCTGGTTACCTCATCTAAAAGTCAATGGATATTTTGAATGTCTTTTGGTTAGATGTCTGAAATAAAGTCTGTGTTTAAAACAAGGCTAAAAGACTTTCAAATTTTGTTCTACAACATAAAATACATCAGTAAATACCCAATTCATGAATTTTGAAGCTTTATGTATGTTACAAAAGGTGGTTAATGACAAGTGGCTAAATGACCACTGCATAACGACATCGTTGAGGTAGGGATGTTAAATCATACGACCACAGTGAAGTTCGTTTGTATCCTAATGTAAGCTTTTTACTTCCTGCGACTGCATTTAGGCTTCAAAAATCATAAAAGTGCTGTTTATTTCTATCATAAATGTTTGTTCACCACAGAGCTTATTTTCTGCTATAATCCAAAATCCAAAGGGTTTTGACAATGGAACCAGGGCGACACCAACTTTCGTATTGGCCTAAAGATAAACATCAAAAATGTGATGCACCTAAATTTTTACATATCCCACATATTTTGAATAGCTGCGATCACATGACCAATGTGCTGACAGCAGCAAACAAGGAAGCAGTCCCAAGCACTTGTAAGGCGGCAGGTTGGGTTGGTGCATAGGTCACAAAAAAACTGACTTTTGACCGGAACTTTTCCCTGGAGTCACATATTGGGATCCATGTTAACTTTGAATCATTTTACCGTACACCTACCATGTTTCTTTTCCTAAACCTAACCACAGTAACTTTTATTGCCTAAACATAACCTCCATAACTTTCCATTAATTATATTACTGTATGTTAAGGACATAACGTCATTCATAGGGCACAAATTCGTAGGATATCATACAAACTGTTCAATGAGAATAAGTTGTTTTGTTATATGCCCCTTACATGTTACGTTTGGCTTAATTTCCTGCCCTTATGTGTTTTCCCGCCTGTTTTCCACCACACCTGTGTTCTTTGATCTTATCAACTCTGTCTAATCACTCATGCTCTCCTTTGTGTATTAATAGTCCAATATACACATATAATATGAACTTCCCGGGTATGAAGGATATGATGTGGAGTTTTGTCTCATTTAAGTCCAGAGATCAACTGTCTTTATGCTGTCTCATCCAAATGCGTCAAATATCACCACTTTGTCACTTTGCCTTTTATGTCTTGATATGATGCGCTAGGTCGCCTCCTGCATCTGTTTGTCATGTTTAGTGATGGTGGAAGGTGCCTTTTTGTGTTGGTGTCTGATGCTGAAATCACTGACAAAGTGGTGGTATATGATGAGTTTGGAATGAGAGGGGGTTGGTAATTTACATGATGATGTAAATAAAATGTTGTTTTCATATTAAAGAGAAAACAGGACAATAAAATGAATTGGGATGCATCTGAAATGAATGGGGATGCACTAGTAGCTACAGAACAGGCAAGCCACAGCAATGAAAAATACTGTGGAATATAATATATAAATTATTTATTTTAATTAAACACTCTCCGATGACACATCAATGCTGAAAAGGATGTTAAATGTGGTTTAAGCTAATGGTTAGTGTTGATAAATCCTCTGCCTCTGAGAAGTGCTGCGCCGTTGCAAGTGGCTGTTTACTATGTTTACCCTCATTAAATCACCTGAAAACAACACCAGGCTGCTTCAGTATAACCATACAGACCTCTTCACGCATCAAACTGGTCTGTTATATCTGGAAATTCAGCTTTTGTATAACAGAGTCATCTAGTTACAAAAGTAGCCTCTTATGTTTTATTCTTTAAACACAATGCAGTGCAAACACTGTTGTGTAACATTTATTAATAAGCTATTACTATGACCATGTACAATGTGAGATATGTTAGAAATATTGTAAAATAGCGTTGGTTTGCTGAGCTGTTGTCACATTTACCTGTAATTAGCACAGCTGTGTCAGAGCTATGAGACCAGTGATGTGACTGGCTGAGAGAGTTATTAGAAATTAACTACACCCACTGATGTAGGCTAAATTCCCCTTTGCCCAACCCTTCTGAATATTGTGCTGCTACATGAACCTAAATAAAATGTGTGCATGGACAAGCCCACACAGTCTGTGTGCTTATTATTTAAATCAACTGATGGTGTGAGAAAGTAAGCTGAGGGCGCAATGCATGCTTTTGTACCTCCGTCGAACCACGCCGCGCAAAAGGGGGAACTTAGAGAGAGAGAACTGAAACAGGGGCATAACTTTATTTGGTGATCATGTAATGTGCTTCAGTGTTAATCCACTGTTTTATTAATGGAGTGTATAAAACTGCATGAACACTACAGAAAGTGACAACCACAGTTTAAACTGTGACAGTTGTCTCATGTCTCCCTTATACTGTATGTGCTTTGGTATTGTCTGTATATGCCTCTCCACTAAAGTTTGTGTTTTCACTTTTGTATGTGGTGTGTGTTTCGACAGAGCATGGCTGTCAGTCCACCACTGTGGTCCAGGCTGAGAGATCTCAACAACTATTGGATGGATTGCCATGGAATTTGGTACATTCATCCTCAGGAAACTCCCCTGACTTCTCCTCCAGTGTCAACCCTCGGTTTGCATTTTAGGTCTTCATAAAATTTATTGACAACTATTGGATGGGTTGCCATAAGAAATGTGCAGACATTCATTGTACTTTGGAGCTAGCCAGACCAGCTGATGTAAAATCATAACAAGTTTTCTCACCTGAACACACCACACCAGCATCCTCACTGTGTCCACAGTTATGTTTCCCAAATCCATTGTGCTGACACTGAGTTATAGACCTTTCACTTCCTGAACAGCCCACATCATCAAGCCAGATCTGTCCGGTTCCTTCACCAAAGTGAGCTGAGTCAGGGGCACTCAGTGCCGTGCCACAGCCCAGCTCTCTGCACGCCACCATAGCATCTTTTAAGTCCCAACCATCATCACAGACTGTTCCCCAGACATTGTTGTAATTGATTTCAACTCTTCCAGAGCACAAGGTAGACCCAGACAATCTGATTGGCACACCTAGGCACAGAATACAGTTGTCAAATCATTGCTGTGGAGGGGTAGCTGTCATTTAGTCATGACACAAACCACTTCTGTAAGACACATTTGGAAAAAGTTATTGTTAATTTACGTACTTTTCAACACTTGCACGGAAAGGGAGATATAACACTTCTCAAAGTTGATCAAACACTGGATAAACTTCTTCACATACATTACAGTTTAAGTTACAGTGTATTTAGCAACATTTCACACTTGTTACTCTGTTCTTCAGTTCTAAAAGCGTGCTCCAGTGTGTGGTGACCAGGTCTTCGACAGTGCTGCATCTGAGCAGCTCATGACAAGCCAGAAAGACTAAAGGACAGAGCTGTTCAAATATACAGAAAATGATACATTTTATTGAAAACACTTTATCCAAAGGTTTTCTCACCTGAACACACCACACCAGCGTCCTCACCATGTCCACAGTTGTGTGTCCCATATCCATTGTGCTGACACTGAGTTAGAGACCTTTCATTTCCTGAACAGCCCACATCATCAAGCCAGATTTGACCAGTTCCTGCACCAAAGTGGGCCGAGTGAAAGGCACTCAGTGCCGCACCACAGTGCATCTGTCTGCACACCACGCCAGCATCAGTTAAGTCCCAGTTGTCATCACAGACTGTTCCCCAGATGTTGTTGTAATAGATTTCAACTCTCCCAGCACAGTGACTAGACCCAGACCCAGCCAGTCTGATCTGACCATCTATCATAAACATTACATACAATATTTTAATATTTTACACAGACTTAAAACTGAAAAACTAAAAGGTTTTTATGCATCACACAGGAGAATGGACTGACCTGCAGCAGGTGGAGTACAGGTCAAACATAGAGAGACTATAGGAGAGAACAGAAAAGAATAATATGACTTATAACATTCAGTTAGCTGACAAGTGCATAAATAGTAATAATGATAATAATAATAACAGTTTTATGAAAACAGCATTTTTCAGGCTTGAGCACAAAGTCCGACCCCCCACCTATGACATACAAAAGTAAGAAAATGAAAGTGCATATATCAAACAGCACTGAGCGTTTACAGATGGAGGTGTAAGTGCACTGTTCTTATGAAATGTAATGCACCAAAATACATCATTTTAATGACAGTAATTTCTGTCATTAACAAAGGACGTGGTCCTGTTAGGTCAGGGATGGATGGTGGATGGGACACAAAACACAGGACTTTACCCAGGAAATGGGTGTTTGGAACCATGTAAACATGGTGTTATTTCATATATTAATAACTATGAAAGAGGTGCCCCCTTTTTGTTTTGCTTCAGCACCTGCCAGAAAAAATGTCTGTGCACAGGACTTTTTTTCTACGTCATTAAAACTGAACATGTGTGTCTTGTCTTAGAGATGTTTTGTAATCGATTGAAACAGACCACAAGTTACCCCAAAGTTCTTTGCCACAGATTCAACATCACAATTAAAAAAAAAAAAAAAAAAATTCAAAGTAAGGGCTGAAGATATCCACTGATGTTGCTGGAGGAATTATTTATGCTGTACTGTTATTTTTCTTATAATAAAAAAAGGAACCGTTCACGCTCTGCTGGAGACAAGGTAGTTACATTTGTTTGTGGGAGATTAATGAGTATGTTGATGGTGTTGAATAAAATGTGAGGATTATGCTATTGGCAAATAAGGAGAAAGATCTTTACACTGAAAAATGAGTGTTAAACAAGTAATTTCTGTGCTATACAATAAAATATATAAATATATAAAAGATTTACAAAATAATATACAAAAATACATAAACAAACAAATACAAAAGCTGCTTTCCTAATAAAATGTTGAAATGTTTATCTTACCCAGGATAAAATAGCAAAGCTTTCTCTGTTGTATATTCCCCATCGCTGACAAACAGGCTGCTGTGTATCATTTATCAGTGACAGAACAGACGACACAAAACTGAACTAAAAACCGCGTTGCACAGAAAAACTTAACACCCTTGTCCTTCCTGGAAGATGTCCTCTTTCTTTGTCAGTACTTTTTTTTCAGCTGAAACTACAGGGTAAACCAGTAAAAATGCTGCAGCACCAAACCACAACATGTATCATAAAGTCTGCCTAATATATTTTTTTATTAATCAACAGAGAGTTCAACAGCTCTGTCAGCTGTATGTCTTTCACACAGGTTTGCATATTTGTGCATAAAGGGAGTACAGAACATGCATGCACTGCATTTTTGAGCTTAGTTATGTATGATGTCATGCAATTATTTGTAGAATAAAATATTTCTTTAAAGATGCAATAATACATTTTTGGCAAGTAAGAAGCAAAAATTCCACATATACACAGCCATCACCATATTCCTAGTTTATAAAGGTTATTTATGTATTTATTGTCAACAACTAACAGTTTGTAAACCCCTCCCCTGTAATGACTATTGTCCAGTCATAGTTAGGCAACTGTAACTAGACACAACAGGACTATCAAGCTTTAACTGTATTTATTTATTTGATATTGTCTTAAATTGCATTCTGTAGTTTTATGACACAAATTCAGGAAATACTGCTGGTCTACAACCATCTGACATGTTCCACCAGCACGGTCATGTTGGTCTGCTATCACCTAACACCAGCTTTATCAACCTGGCTGCTCACCTCTCAACCAGTTGCACAAAACTGGTCTACTAGCTGATCACCAGCTTGAGCAAACTGGCCCACCATGTAAATCCAGCTAGAACCAGCAGCCAACACAATCAATGGTCACCAGCCAGAAATAAGAAGCCTGCCTATGTCTACCTGTCTGAAATCAGTGAACCATTCCTTCAAAATTACCAAGAATTTCAAATGTAAATCTGCCTCCATGACTGCTGCTAATGTATGTGCAAGAATGGAAAGCTGGACAGGCTTAGTGACGGTAATTAAGAGGGTCAAGGCTTAGCTAATGTATCATTTCTTACATCACTGTACCCTGAATTATGTGTTGGTCTCCTTCTGGCTCTTTCATGAACATACTGTATTCTCACTCAGTTGTCAACATATATTCACACGGGTTGTTTGTTACAAACGTCAGACATGGAGGATAGACAGACCGATACAGACATAAATAGAAAAGGAACCCAGAAAAGGTGTGTTCAGGTCTTCATTTAGAGAATTGCTTTAGGGTATATATTGCATTTGATTATTATTATCATCACTATCATTATAATTATATTGCTATTATCATTATCATTTTATTATTATTATTATCATCACGCTTATTATTATCATTAGTAGGTATAAAATCAGCTGTCTCTACCCTTTATGAACAGCAGCCCGTCAGTCTGCAGGATCTTACAGGATCCATCACATGCTGTTATTTGTTTGAGTGGCTCCCCTGAGGATGCAGACTTTGTTGTAGGCTGCAGGACAGAGTTCCCGTGGCTGTCCAGCTCCTAAACTCCCATCATCCCCTTCCCCTCCCTCCCCTCCCCATCATGAAGATAAACAGCACTGCGGCACTTTTTAGAGAACTTTTTAATTAACCTTTGCATGTACCTTTGATTTACTGATTAACTGATTGATTGATTCCAAAAATTCAAACAAAATAGGTTCCAGAGAGTTACATAGCAGAACTTATAACAGAATATTTAAGATAAGTGCAAGAACATAAAGAACCCCCCTAGAAAAATATTTACAAGACCTGTCTTTCATTAATCATGCCTATGGGAGCTAAAGCCCCTGAAAGAGAACTGTTTTGTACAGTCTCTTTCTTGTGCTGCTACACTGGTAACTTACCTGAGTGAAGTAATTTTTGCAATGTGGTGCAGCCTAATTTTGAGAAACACAGACACTACTAACCTCAGTAAGTTTGAATGGTGGTTGTCAATACCAAATTGTGTTTCTTTGATATGTTCCCTGGGCAAAAACACATCCTCTGTGCCAATCTCTTCCCGGACAACATGTGTCACCACTGACACCTTGAGAGCTTGCCCTGATTGGAGCTGGCGATTCAACCGCTCTGCTACTTTCACCACCTTCACTGTGCCATCCTGTGCTGCCACGTTGCCTCGCCCACTTGGTGAGACGCCACATCGGACCATCAGACGCCGGAAGATGCCCTGGAGCTCCAGCAGTTCCAGCCCCCTTAAAGGAAAAAAACAACAGACACACACACACACATACACACACACACACACACACATGCACAGTAATTTAAAAGATCTTTTCTGATTGTTTTTTTAAAGACTGTAAAATGTGAACCCTACCTGATGCTCTGATTGAATTAAAGAGAAGCTCCAAGTGATCTTGGCTAAACCGGTAGGTGCAGACATACCGATGGACTTGGAGCAGCTCAGGTATCATCAGCATCAAGGTGTCAATGTGGATGACAAACCCGATGACAGACAGGTACCTTCAAGAGAAAATGTTTTATTTCCCTGATCATGTTAAAACAAGACACCTCAAGGAAGCACCTAGGAAATTTGTTCACTGAAAGCGATAAATTGATTTTGCAACCATATCCCGCAGAAGCGAAACAGCAAAGGGTGACAGGGATGGCCACAGTCATAGATCTTTTGCTTCTGTGGCATCCCTTGCGGATAAACTGTCCTGCCAATTTAATGGGAACAAAATTACTGTGTGCTTCTTACAGGGTTGCAAACCTTATTTTCTTCTAGGATGCTGAACCAACTACAGGAACAATATTATAACACAGAACAGGGAAAGCTTGACTGCGCGTCGGGAGTTATTTTTCAACCGTCACCAGCTCACTAGACATTATTTCTTACTTAATTGGGCCAGTGGTGTTCATTATTTGGGCTGTATGCCTTCAGAATCAGAATTAGAATCTTTATTATTCACAGCTCACACAAATACAGACAGGAAAATGTAAAGCATCACATGCAGTCATACTTATGTAAATAGAAACGCCACAACAATAAAATATAATAAAATGCAAATAAGCCTAGAACAACAATCAGCATTTACCTGTAACATGTTGTGTGCAAGCTTCAGCATGTGGCAGGCATCCATCATGACAAACACTCTCTCACCAGTCACTGGATGTGCAAAAGGTTCACGAGGGTTTCCCTTGAGTTCTCAGCCGAGTTGGTTGCACATGCTGATGTTAGATGCATGTCCATCCATTGTCATGCACACCACTCTCAGACCATGAGCATGAAGTTCTTCCAATGCATGAACAACTAAGACCTACAGTGTTTCTGGTGAGAGAGCACTGCTCAGATAGTAAGCAATTGGAGCTTTCCAATGCTTGTATGCCAACCACCAGAAACATGAGAGCCTCAGAGGCAACATCTGTCTCATTAAATCCATCCCCCATATCCACAAACCCTGACATTGTTTGAGTTTGGGGATTGTATTGCACATTTTTTTTATGACCATGGCCTCCAGCATCAGTGTCACCCATTCATATTTAGTCTGGTCTTCCTCGCATCTTCTTCCCAGCATGTCCAGCATCATCTTATTTAGGCCAGGCTTAGCATCGACAGAAGTCAGCCACCTTTGTAAAAATAACAAGTAGTAATTTAACCACTTTAACCCTTATGGAAAAAACTACTAAACTAACTACTAAGCACCTGCTTAGGGCCCCGTGACCACTAGGGGGGGCCCAAGAGCAATTAACTTCAAAGAATAAATAATAATAATTTATTATTTTTTAGCCTATAATAGCAAATTAGCCAGCTAACGTTAGTTCAAAGCCAGAGAAACTTCTCTTTTAACTGGAAGGTTAGATAGCTTACTATTCAAGCGTTTTTGTGTTTGTGTATGAATAAGTTGATCCTCGGTGTATATATGCCGGGTCGCTTTTTGGCATCAAAACAATGTTTGATAGCAAATGTTTAATAACAACTAACATTAATTACAGACGTGGTGCCGTTTGCTAGCAATATGTTTTTGCATTAATGAATTAACTTTGTTAACTCATAATTTGAGATATGTTGTTTGCTGCAGAGCATAGTAATTTATGTGAGTAAATAAACATATTCCTTTTACATCAACTCCCTATTATGCTCATGAGTTACATGAAACTTCCCCAGGAGCACTGTTAAAGTATTTTGGAGGAGGCACTGACTCAGCCCAGGGGCAATCAACTCCTCAGGCTCAGCCAAGGCTAATGAAACAGGTGAGGGAAAAACTGTCACCATATATATTTCATTTCTAGTCAGATTATCTCATTAAGATATACTAATATAACAAGACATAATCATATGACAAGGGACATGTTTTTCATCTTAGATCCATCTCCATTCTCTGTGCCCACTGTCCCCTCTGTGTCTGCTGCATCCTCAGCTCTACCTGGTAAGTTAACAACCAAACAGCCTTTGTAATTGCTCAGTGTACTGCAGGACATTCTGAGATGAATCATTTTGTCCAAAAATATTAATTTAATTTCCCTATATTTTACTGCTTATTTATTTAGAAAATAAGCAGCATCATTTTCAAGTGTAATATGACATCTAACATGGCTAGCTTTTGTTGTTGTTGTTTTTCATCTTATGTCCATCTCCATCCTCTGACCCATCCTCTGTGCCCACTGTCCCCTCTGTGTCTGCTACAACCTCAGCTCTACCTGGTAAGATAACAACAAAACAGCCTTTGTAATTTTATTTTATTTATAAACCATTTTTGTTACCTCGTTTCAGGTGCCACTGTTCATTTACATCATTATTTAAGTATTTGTTTGATATTTTTTAAATTATATTTAATACTGTATGTTTTTGTACATTTGCTGTTGCAGTTTATTTAAAACAAACAAAAAATAATAAAGCAGATTGTGTTTACAGTAAATGACTGGTTTATTTTGTTACTTTTAGTTGGCCTAGATGACATTTGGTATCCCACTTAGTACTATATCACTTTGAATATTAAGTGTAAATTAACCCCAGGCTGCTCTTTTAGCTGAATTTACTACCATTTCAGATTAAAAACCATAGATGGGTAAAACATGCCAGGCTGCTCTTTGAGGTTTTATGTA